TGTATGTATGTATGCATGCATGCATGCATGCATGCATGTATGTACGTATGTATGCATGTATGTATGTATGTATGTATGTATGCATGTATGTATGTATGTATGTATGTATGTATGTATGTATGTATTGTGTATGTGTGCATGCACACGTATGTAGACAAGTATGTAGGCATGCATGCATGTATGTATGCATGCATGCATGCATGTATGTATGTATGCATGCATGTATGTATGTGTCAATGCATGTATGTATGCATGCATGTATGTATGTATGTATATATATATATGCATGTCTGCATGTATGCATGGTTGTATGTATTTATGTATTATTACCTAACAGCGAAGACTGATAGGTTTCTAGTGGTCTAAAAAGAGCTCACAGATCACTCCACAGGGGGGTCCGGGCAGGTGTTGGGAGTTGCCGGGCGGCAGGGTGCCCGGCTCGTTTTTCGCCAACAGTCACACACTTCGTGCTCTTCGAGTTCCCAGAACTCCATTCCCAGGCTCATTCTGAATAACCGGATGCAACAGTCACACACTTCGTGCTCTTCGAGATCCCAGAACGCCATTCCCGGGCCACATTTAGAATAACCGGATGCAACAGTCACACACTTCGTGCTCTTCGAGTTCCCAGAACGCCATTCCCGGGCCACATTCTGGGGGGCCGGATGCAACAGTCACACACTTCGTGCTCTTCGAGTTCCCAGAACTCCATTCCCGGGCCACATTTTGGATGCCCGGAGCCAACTGTAGGCCACTTCGTGCTCTTCGAGTTCCCAGAACTCCATTCCCGGGCCACATTTTGAATGCCCGGAGCCAACTGTAGGCCACTTCGTGCTCTTCGAGTTCCCAGAACTCCATTCCCGGGCCACATTTTGAATGCCCGTAGCCAACTGTAGGCAACTTCGTGCTCTTCGACTTCCCAGAACTCCCATTCCTGGGCCACATTTTCAGCAGGGGCAAGAGCACGACGAGGAGGAGGACGAGCAAGACCAGGAGGACGAGGACGAGCAGGAGCAGGACGAGGAGCAGGAGGAGCAGGAGAAGAAGGACGAGCAGGAGGAGGAGGAGGACGAGCAGGAGGAGGAGGACGACCAGGAGGAGGAGGACGACCAGGAAGAGGAAGGAGGAGGAGGAGGGGAGGGGGAGGAGTACCAGGAGGAGGAGGAGGAGGAGGGGAGGAGGAGAGGAGGGGAAGAGGAGGAGGAGGAGGAGGAGGACGAGGACGAGGAGGAGGAGGAGGAGGGGGGGGGAGAGTACCAGGAGGAGGAGAACGAGGACCACCAGGAGGAGGAGGAGGAGGAGGAGGAGGAGGAGGAGGAGGAGGAGGAGGAGGAGGAGAGCACCAGGAGGAGGAGGACGAGCAAGACGAGGAGGACGAGAACGAGGACGACCAGGAAGAGGAGGAGGAGGAGGAGGAGGGGAGGGGGAGGACTACCAGGAGGAGGAGGAGGAGGAGGAGGAGGAAGAGGAGGAGGAGGACGAGGAGGAGGAGGAGGAGGAGGACGAGGAGGAGGAGGGGGGGGGAGAGCACCAGGAGGAGGAGAACGAGGACCACCAGGAGGAGGAGGAGGAGGAGGAGGAGGAGGAGAGAGCACCAGGAGGAGGAGGACGAGCAAGACGAGGAGGACGAGAACGAGGACGAGCAGGAGGAAGAGGAGGAGGAGGAGGAGGAGGAGGAGAGAGGAGGAGCAGGAGAAAGAGGAGGAGGAGGAGGCAGGCTGAGGCTGAGGCTGTGACTGCGACTGCCGTTGCCGCTGCGACTGTCATCGCGAATGCGACTACGACTGCGAGAACAGCAGAATTCGACAACTGGATTTTCATCTGAATCTTAAGGGGAATGCTTTCAGATATGCTTCTACACATCGCTGTTAAGTTGCTTTGCCGGGATATTCTTTATATATGCATGTATGAATAGATGAATGCATGCATGCATATATGTATGTGTATGGATACACATAAGCATGCATACATATATATATATATATATACATATATATATATATATGTATATTTATGTATTGGTGTATATGTCTAAATGTATATATATGTGTGTTTATATACACATACAAGTGGTCTCCAGCCCCTCCCGCCACCGTGTCTGATTTTTGGGTAAGGATGCTCGTTTGGATATCGTGGGAGGCCTCTCGGGGGGATTCTGGAAGCAGTTTTGATGCCTCTTGTTGGCTGTTTGGCCTCGTAGCCTTTCTTTGGGGCCTCCTGGGGGCCTCTTGGGGCGGAGGGCTCAAATTGTCGGTTCGTGTTCCCCCTCTTGGCCCTTTTTTGGGGCCGTCTTGTGGCCCTCTTGTGTGATCTTGGGCGCCTCTTGGGCCGTTTTGGGGCCCTCTTGCACCGTCTTGGGGTACTCTTGGGGGCCTCTTGGGCCGTTTTGGGGCGGTCTTGGGGGCCTCGGGGGCCATCTTGGGGCGTCGGAAGCCCGAAAACGCGAGAACACGACACACATAGAAAAACACAAGGAACATCAATGACTTTCGCCTCTTTAGGCCCTCTTGGGGTCCTCTTGGAGCGCTCTTGAGGCTTCTTTGGGGCCTCTTGGGCTGTCTTGGGGCCATCTTGGGCGTCTTGGAGCGCTCTTGGGCTGTCTTGGAGGCCTCTTGGACCTTCTTGGGCGCTTTCTGGGGCCCTCTTGGCCCGTCTTGGTGCCTGTCTGGCCCATGGAAAAGTCATGCGGGGCAGCCCAGGAACGCGCGGGAACGCCGGGATCATTTGAGAATTTGGACCCCCAGCCCCTAGAACACTATACTCCCCCAGTCCTGAGTGCAGAGAACAGGGAACCATCGAGGATCTGATGGTACTCCACTTTGTATCTCGATGCACTGTGACGGATACACACATGTATATATATAGTCATAGTTGTAATATCATCACACATAACTATATTCATTACATACATATGTACATATGTATGCATGTTTGCATGTATGTGTATGCATATGTGTATGTATGCATATGTATGTATGTATGTATGTATGCATGTATGCATGTATGCATGTATGCACGTATGCATGTATGCATACATGCATGCATGTATGTATGTGTGTATGTGTGTATGTGTGTATGTATGTATGTATGCATGCATGTATGTATATATGTATGTAGATATGTATGTATGTATGTATGTATGCATGTATGCATGTATGCATGTATGCACGTATGCATGTATGCATACATGCATGCATGTATGTATGTGTGTATGTGTGTATGTGTGTATGTATGTATGTATGTATGCATGCATGTATGTATATATGTTTGTAGATATGTATGTATGTATGTATGTATGTATGTATGTATGTATGTATATATGTATATATGTATGTATGTATGTATGTATGTATGTATGTATGCATGCATGCATGCATGCATGCATGTATGTATGTATGTATGCATGTATGTATGAGTGCAATAGGTTGGTTTTTCTAGTTGCTTGTTTGTTTGGTTGTTTGACTGTCTGTATGTGTATATGTATGTAGGTGTGTATCAACGTATGTACTTATGTATGTATGCTTGTATGAATATATTAGGTATGCATGCAGGCAGGCAGACATGCATGCACGTATATATGTGTGCATTTATGTATGTACGCTTGCATCTATGCATCCTGCATTTTATGTGTGTGCATGCATACACGTATTCATGCATGCATGTATGTATGTGTGCATGTGTGTATATGTGAGCACACTCGGCGCACTTGCGAACCAGAGATAATTATAGACCCAGAGAGAGAGAGAGAGAGAGAGAGAGAGCGCGAGATAGAGCGAGAGAGAGAAGGAGAGAGAGAAACAGAGAGAGAGAGAGAGAGGGAGCGAGAGAGAACCAAACAAGCTGCGAGCGAGAGAGAGGGGTATCCATAGAGAGGGAGAGATCGACAGAGAGAGATAGGGAGCGAGGCAGAGATGGTGAGATATTGATATAGAACTATAGTGAGAGGAAGAGAGAAGAGATCCCCAAGAGACCCCCAAGAGGCCCTAAAATACTTCCTCAGAGACCCCCGAGAGCCTTCCAAAGATGCCCGAGAAGCATCCCTGAGGACTGGCCCACGTCAACGTCGTCGTCGCCGCCGCCGTCGTCATCGTCGTCGTCCCCCTTCAGGGTCGCCTTCGCAATTTCTATAGTTCGCATACACGAGGGCATGTACATCTGCGTTTTAGTATGATTAGCCTTCTCTCTATATGTCTACATGTATGCATCTACTTATGCCACCATACAAATGTATCACACTGTGTCTCTCTCTCTCTCTCTCGCTCTCTCTCCCTGTCGGTTCCTCCCTTCGTGCGTGTATGAATGAAGACGCAGAGAAGTGATACGTTTTTCGCGTACTGTCGGGTCCCGTGGCTTAAAACAAATAGATATCTGGATCCAAGCGCCAGTGCTATGTAGGAACAACTTATCTATTACGAATGTATCACGTGCTGCGGGTGACCTTTGGCTCGTCAGCATTACAACACTGAAGCAAATTTAGTTCCACCAGCATCTCAGAAAAGGGCGATGGGAGTCTACTCACAACATGTTGAAATCGAAACGATTCTATTTCGAGCGTCGCATTTCTTCTTTGCCATTGCGAGCGCGAGTTTTCTTCCAGGATAACCTGTGATTGCAGTGACTTGGGCTTCGAGTAAGTCCTAGGTGGCCAGGTACGCGTGGACATGCGTTCGTTCGTGTGACTACTGAACGGCTGCAGCGGGAGCCGGGATTGGAAGGCGACGGGTACACGAGGCTTGGCTGTTTTTGGAGCAGCCTTGCAGATTAGATCTGGATCATGTTCGAACGGACAGAGTCGGAGGAAGGAGAGGCGGCATCACCACCACCAGGGAGGCCACCTCCGGCGGTGGGGGTCCACAATACCCACCCGAGCTGGGGACAGGGGATGTCTCGAGCAAGAGGGGGGGCCCACCCCGCCATGAGGACCTTTCCTGGCGCCTCGCGCTGGTGGTGGTGGTGGTGCCGCCCTTCCTGGTTCCTGCAGAGCGCCCCCGGGTCGCCAGGTTACAGGTGCGCGGGAATACGTGTACGAGCCGTCCGCCGACAAGGTCTGGGCCAGCGTCTGGGCGAAGGCCGCCGGCTCAGACCCGGGCCCTCGGCTAGCCCAACGTGTGTTTACCCCCTTCAGCCCAACCAGTAGATCATTACATCGCCTGCGAGGCATCGAGGGGCCTCGATGGACAAACACACGTTGGGGCTAACACACGTTCTCAGGATTATCGACCCTGGTGGACTGGAGGCCTGGGCCTCTTTGCCTCGCGCTGCCAGAGACTCTTCGCGCGAGAGCTTCTCTGACGCCTCTGTCGAGGCAGCCGGCGCGGCCTGCGCGTCGTGCGAGGCGTGCTCGCGGAGCTCGTGCGCGAGTGCCGACGGCCTCTGGGGCACGTGTGGCGCGTCTGCCCTCTTTGGGCGGCGAGGTCTCGACCTGTACGTGTCCGCCGCCGTGGTCAGGCCCATCCTGGGGCCAGTATCAGTGCATATCTGCCCCTGGCCAAGCCATGAGGGAGCACACGCCGCTCCTGGGAGGTGGAGGAGGAGGAGGAGGAGGAGAAGGAGGAGGAAGAGGAGGAGGAGGAGGAGGAATGAGGAAGGAGGAGGAGGAGGGGAGGTGGAAGTGGAGCAGAGGGAGGAGGAGGGAGGAGGGATGAGCAGGGAGGAGAGAGGAGAAGGTGGAGGAGGAGGCGGAGGAGGATGCGGAGGATGCGGAGGATGCGGAGGATGCGGAGGAGGAGGAGGAGGAGGAGGAGGAGGAGGAGGAGGAGGAGGAGGAGGAGGAGACCAGGATGGGCCTGGCCAGTGGCGATGTGTATGTCTAGATCCAGTCGCCCTGCCTCTCCCACCACCCGTCGGGCGGCGGGGCGCGGAGAGTCCAGACGGTGCCCTTGAGTCCACCCGGTGGTGGGCCGCTTGCGTATACGTAAGTCGGGCATCTCCCTCTACAAGAGGAATGTTCAAAAATAGTCAAAAATAGTATGGGGACGTTTTTTTTTTTTTTTGGCGTTGTTGTTGTTTTGTGTTGTTTTTGTTGTTGATATATATATATATATATATATATGTTGTTCTTATACATATATATATAATATACACACACACACCATTTTTTGTATTTTTGTTTATGACTATTTTTCATTTTTCCTCGAACATCTGCCTATATCGGGACATGCCCGACATAAGCTTATATGTATGTGCCTCTTCGTGAGCGTCCTGGGATTGGTGCGCCCCCCCTTCTGCGTGAGTGCGCCTTCCCCCCCCTCTGTCCCTCCTCCGCGGCCGGACCCTTTCTTTCCTCCTCCTTTGGCATGCGGGACACTTCGCAATACGGTGGCCCGGGTTGCTTGGACGCAAGTGCGGACTGTCTCTGCAGCGCTGCGCCGCAAAAGTGTATTGGGATTCGCGTGCGGATGTCGACCAGCGGTCCAGCCTTGCGCCCCGGGATGCAACTTCTTGGGCGGAAGTTTTGGGGTCGGGGGGGAGGATGAGTGGGCGGAGTTCGTATGATGCAACCGATGCGGTGCAGTGTGTGGGGGGTTCGCTTTGCAGTGTGCAGCGTGTGAGGCGCACATTATGTGGTGCGACTCTTGCGGTGCTGCTTAGTTCTGGTACATCTGAAGGGACATAGCTTGTGGGGCACATCGAACGGCGTGCATCCTCTGGGGTGCAACTGATGGGGTGCAAGTTATTGAAGTCACTGACGTGGCGCAGCATATCAGGTGCAGCTACTATAACGAAACTCTGTGGGTGGGGGGACTCGGGTGTAATTTGACCGACACCCATCGTTGTGTTGACTAGCGTTGGCCATCGTGCCATTGTTTTGGGTGGTGATTTATATCGCCCGCAACGCTGCGTATTATTGCGCCAGCATGCTCTGAACGTTTCAGTGGGTCATCGAGGTGCTTTTCTGTGGTGTGCCCTTTTTTCTTGGCGGACGGGGACTGTATCGGTGTGAGTTTATCCGTTCGTGAAAGCATTTCTATGCATGGGAAACGTTCCACACAATTTGTCTTCGGTGGACAGTTTTGATGCTCTAAGCATGGGTATGCCAAGCCAGATGGTTCGTACCCAACGTGTATGCTATCGCGCTGTGATTTCCTGTGGACAGTCGTGTAGGTCTACACACGGGTATGCCGAGCCAGATGGTTAGCTTGAGGGAGTTTCTGTGAAACTCACGTCATCCTGACCCCCGGCGCGCGCGGCAATGGCCCCGCCGACCGCCCCTGTTCCGTTTCAGGCGAGATCCTGGAAATCCGGCGAAATCCGGCGAATTTGGCGAATCCGGCGACGAATTCCAAACTGGCGCCCTCGCGTCGGACATCCTCAGACCAACTGGCCCCGGGAGCCTCCCCAACGAGGCTCTCAGAGGCCGTCCTGTTCCGCGTCAGGCGAGATCCCGGACATCTGGCGAAATCCGGCGAATCCAGCAAATCAGGCGACGAATTCCAAACCGGCGCCCTCGCGTGCGTGGGACACTCTGAGAAAAACCGGCCCAACGAGGCTCTCAGAGGCCCTTCTTTTCCGTTTCAGGCGAGATCATTGACGGAAATCCAGCGAAATCCGGCGAATGCAGCAAATCCGGCGAGGAATTCCAAACGGGCGCCCTCGCGTGGGACACCCTCAGAAAAACTGGCCCCCGGAGCCTTCCCAACGAGGTTCTCAAAGGTCCTCCTGTTCCGGTTCAGGTGAGACCTAGGAAATCCGGGGAAATTCGGCGAATTTGGCGAATCCGGCGACGGATTCCAAACTGGCGCCCCTGCGTGGGGCATCCCCAGAAGAACTGGCCCCCCAACGAGATTCTCAGAGGCCCTCCTGTTCCGTTTCAAGCGAGATCCTAGAAATTTGGCGAAATCCGGCGAATCTGGCGAATCCGGCGACGAACAGAAACACCAGCCCCTGAAGCCTCCCCAACGAGGCTCTCAGAGGCTCGCCTGTTCCGTTTTAGGCGAGATCCGGCGAATCCGGCGAATACGGCGAATCCGGCGACGAATTCCAAACTGGCGCCCTCGCGTGGGACATCCGCAGAAAAACTGGCGCCCAGAGCCTTCCCAACGAGGCTCCGAGAGGCACTCCTGTTCCGTTTCAGTCCAGCGAGTCCGGCAAATCCGGCGACGAATTCCAAACGGAGCCTCGCGTGGGACATCCCCAGAAAAATTGGCCCCCGGGGCCTTTCCCTCCTGTTCCGTTTCAGGCGAGATCCGGGAAATCCGGCGAGTCCGGCGAATTTGGCGACGAATTCCAAACCGGCGCCCTCGGGTGGGACATCCGCAGAAAAACTGTCCCCTGGAGCCTTCCCGAGGAGGCCCTTAGAGGTCCCCTTGTTCCGTTTGCGGCGAGGCTGGGGGAATCCAGTGAATCCGGCGACGAAATCCTAACTGGGGTTCTCGCGTGGGACATCCTCAGAAAAAAATTGCCCCCAGAGCTTCCCCAAGGAAGCCCTCGGAGGCCCCCCATTTCCAAATCCGGCGAATTTGGCGACGAATTCCAAACCGCCCTCGCGTGGAAATCCTCAGAAAAACCAGCTCTGGAGCCTCCCCAAGAAGGCCTTCAGAGGCCCCCTTCTTCCGTGTCGGGTCAAATCTGCGAAATCCAGCGAATCTGGCGAAGAATTCCAAACCGGCGCCTTCGCGTGTCTGTCATCCTCAGAAAAACCGGCCCCCAGAGCCTCCCCAAGGAGACTTCCGTTTCTGGCCAGATTCCGGAAATCCGGCGAGATCTTTGAAATTTGGTGAGGAATTCCAAATTTGCGCCCTCGCGTGGGACATCCTCAAGGAACCGTTCCCAGAGCCTTCCCAAGGAGGCGCTGAGAGGCCCCCCTGTTCCGTTTCCGGAGAGATCGGGGAAATCCCTAGGGGGGAGGAGAAGGACGATGAGGAGAAGGAGGAGGGAGGAGGATGAGGACGAAGTGGAGGAGGACGAGGAAAGTTGGAGGAGGCAGAGGAGGAAGAGGAGGAAGAGGAGGAGGAGGAAGAAGAGGAGGAGGAGGAGAAGGAGGAGGAGGATGAGGAGGAGGTGGAGACTACCAGCATGGCAGCGGGGGGCGCCACGCCCGCCCGATCCTCACCCTCCTGATTCTCATTCTCGCCATCCTCGCTCTCCTGGCCCTCCTTCTCCACATCCTCACCCTCCTGCTCCACGCTCGCCCGATCCTCACCCGCGTGACCCTTCCTCTCCCTATCCTCCCCCTCGCGAGCCTCGCCCTCCTGATCCTCGCGCTCATTCTCATCTCGATTATTTTTGCTCTCGTCGAGAAGCGCACGCCCCATCTTCTGTATACAGAACCTCCCGATCAACCGCAAAGCGGCCGGCTACAACCCTCGTCAAAATTAACCTCAAAAATGTCTGACGTGGTTGAATTGCTTGTCGGAAGATCTGGGGCCGAGTATCGATCAGTGCGGGGTACTTGCATGCGCCGCCCCTTCAATGTCGGTCGACGTCAAACTTTCGAGTCAACTTCGGTCAGACTATCCTTGCCCTCGTCCCGACATTGAAGGGGCGGCGTGTCGACATTGAGGGGCGCGCCGAAAACGAAATGACGTGCCAGCAACTGTTGAGGTTAATTTTGACGAGGGTAGTAGTATTCACGGTGCATCCCATCGTGTTGTGATCTCCTGACCAGGAACTGTTTTAGGAGCATTAGGAGCGTCGAGAGAGCTAGTGCCGCGATTGGAGCAGGACTTGGCGTGGCGGCGGGGAGGGTGGAATTCCAACCCGCGGCTCTCGGAGCGGCTGTCGTAATTCGTGCTTCTCTTTGCGAGTCGGTGCGCCAGTGGGCTGTGGACTTCGACAGTCCGAGCCACGGCTGCTGAGCGATCCCCGGGCCAAAGCGGGAGGGATGGATGGCGGCCGCAGTGGGCGGGGAGTGGGCGCTGCGGGGACAGCTGCCAGAGGGCAGCTGGGAGGGGGACACTCCTCGGCATGGCCTCGTCTTGCATCCTGGCCCAGTCCTCCTCGGACACCGCTCTGGTAAGTGGGAGGGAATCCACCTCTGCTGCTGCCCCTGGGGCCTGCAGGCAGAAGGGGCAGAGGAAGAGGGGAAGCACCCAAGCACCAGAGAGGTCCCAGACGAGCCGCACTCGGATGCAAGGAAGGAGCTCTAATAAAGGATTCCGCCCCGGGGGCAACCAGCCAGCCCGTGCAACGCATGCAGCACCTGCCCGCGTGGTAGGCGGTGACCACCGGATCCGCTCCTTGCCGAAACAGTCCCCCGACCGCAACGACCCCAGACTCCCCAGACATTCGGACGGCATGGGGAGACTTCGCGGCCGGAGACGGTCGAAAGATGGCCTCGTGAAAGAGAGACACTGGGGACCACCTTCCGCTAACCTTCCCCCGCTCTTCTGCCCTACAGCAGGCCAGATCGAGCCATGGTGCTAGGAGATAACCGAAGCCTGCAAGACGGATTCACTCCGAGACAGAAGCCCGTCTCGCGGCTGCGGCCCCAGGCACCCCCGACCTGCGGAGGTTCGGGTCAGAGTGGCGGCCGAAGAAGCGGCGGGGGATTCTAGGCGAAGCGATTCATTATGATTCTGATTACCGCACCGACCCCTGCCACCCCCGATCCAGCAGGCTGGGGCAGGCTGGGCTGTCGAAGATTGCAGCATCCCTCTCCCGCCTCCCCTCCCACACAGACGAGCCCCCTCCGACATCAGGTTCCCCATGCTGCAACGACCCCAGCCACCCCGACGCCCTCCGGGGCCAGGGCAGGCTGAGCAATCGCCGACGGGGGAGAAGGAGGCGAGAGGAGCAGGTAGACAGGCGAGGGGGGAAGAGGGCCAAAGGTCTCGCGGGGGGAAGCTTTTCTGTGGGAGCGGCTGCGACGTGCCGCTCGGTCTTTGCTTCCATTCTGCTTCGGGCAGTTACCCGCGATGCGCCGAACGTGGGCGTGTCGCATTGGGGTTGCGACAATTGGGGCGATCGAGGGTTGCAGGAAGGTGCCCCACCGGGGCCCAGTATGGCCCCCCTGGGGCCCCGAAGGTTTATGAAGTGTAACCCTTTCCCCCTCCACATTGACCTCCTCCTCCTCCTCCTCCTCCTCCTCCTCCTCCTCTTCCTTCTCCTTCTTTTCTTCCTCCTTTTCCTTTCTTTCCTCCTCCTCCTCCTCCTCCCTCCCCCATCGACTGCCCCCCTGACTGAGCAGCGCCCGACGGGTCGTTTTTCGTAGGAATGGGGGCGGCCTCGCCACCCACACCACCAGCCAGGATTTGCCTCAACTCGATCGACCCTGTTTGAATTTGTTCAAGTCGAATCTACAACGTTTTTGCTGATTTGATCTTCTCGACCACCCCGATTTTGTTCCAGCTGTGTCAGTGTCGCCCCGCCGTGCTTTTACGAGGCTCGAGCTCTGGTCCAGCCGTGCCGACGACCAGCTTCCAGTTGGGCCCATTGGAGGTCTGGGACCGGCAGGGACCTGGGGGTAGCCTGGGCTTGGCCACCAGATGTGAAGCAGGGTGGAAGGGATAACCTCGAGTCGATACCCTGGCCACCAGATATGATATGAGCTTGTAGCCTGGCCACAAGGTATGATGTGTGTGGGGGGGAAGCGTCGAGTTCATGGATGCACGTCGGGCCTGTGCCCCCCTAGCCAACAAGGCCTTCCCCGTAGTCTTCAAGTCGGCCAGCGTCGCATTCGAGCCCCTCTCCCCTCCCCGGGCCGGGGCCTGCCCGAGGTCGTCGCCGCGACGGCGACTGGCGAGCCGGGCGATACCCTCAGGTCGGTGTTTAAGTTCGACGCGCTGTCTTCAGCCAGGCGCGGGCGGGGGTGGGGGCGCTTTCTCTTGTTCCCTTCCTAGGCACCAGCCCTGATGCTATGGCCCACATGCGCCGAAGCCTGCCGCCTGCGCTGCTCTCTCAGGGGTCTCCGGACGGAGCGGCCCGCGCCGTCCGAAGGTTTTCGGGCCTCGGCCGCGCAGGAGCGCTTCGGGGCGGGGGGGTGGGCTGTTGCCGAGCGAGGGCGCGAGGCAGTGGATGGGCAGGGGCTGTCGAAGAAGCACAGGCTACGCAGACACAACTTTCGCAGGCCCGCGCGCATCTTTTCACTGGATGCCCCTCCCTGGCGGGCGGAGCGCGCCAGGGTAAACCAATTCTGTAGTCAATCCCCTAGTCGAAGCATTACACAAACGTGATCACCGATCTCCCCTCGCAGCATTCGAGTAGGGGATCGACTACAGAATTGATTTACCCCAAACTTGACTCTACAGGCTTACGCCACATCCGCCGACCCCTTCTGTGAGTGTTGCGAGGCCAGGAGTTTCTGGCCAGCGGCGTCTTGTGTGAGGGTGCGGTGTCGCGCGCGGGTGGTGGCAGATACGTAGGGAGTCCAAATGTTTGCGTGATGCCGGTGGTCTGGGGCGTGTTTTGCGAGCGCTTTGCGTGCTGTGCACCCGGGTGCGGGGTGTCCTTCTGGGAGGTCGGCCTTTCGACCCGCAACCAAGTGGAGGAGCACTGGAAGACGAAAGGAGCAAGAGTAACGTGTGGAAGCTGTGATCAGCGAAGCATCACAGCGAAAGATGTGGCAGATGAATCGAAACGGGTGAAGAGGCTGTTGACGTTCGCAGCGCGCACGAAACAGTTCGCGCGGCAGCAGCACATTAGCGCCGAGCAAGATAGTGAGCACGTCGCGAGGAAGAGTAAGGTTGTATGCGCGGAGTGCATTGCAGTTGGCGTGACGGCTCGCAATGCGGAAGCGTCTGGGGGTCTTTTGGGGGCCTCCTGGGGGCCTCTTGTGGGCTCCTTGGGGCGTCTTGGCGGTTTCTTGAGGGCCGTTGGCGGCCTGTTGGGGCGCTCTTGGGGCCCCCTGGGGCTCGTGGGGGCGGAAAGCTAGATTTTTGAATTGTTGGTTGCCCTCTTGGGCCCCTCTTGGTGCCGTCTTGGAGCCTTCTTGGGCCGTTTTGGGGACCTCTTGGGCCGTCTTGGGGCCATATTGGACCGTCGCGGGGCCGTCTTGGGGGCCTCTTGGGCCGTCTTGGGGCGGTTTTCGGGGCTTCTTGGGCCGTCTAGGAGCGTCGGAAAACCCAGAAGGCGGATGTGTGAACATTGTACGTTTCACGACGGGAATACGTACATGTCTGCGTCCAGGGACCGTCTTGGGACGCATCTTGGGGGCCTCTCAGGGGCGTGTTGGGCCATCTGGAGGCCATTTCGGGTGTCTTCGATCGCTATTGGACCGTGTGGGACCATGTTGAGCTCTCTTGGAAGCCACTTGGAGCGCTCTTGGGGCCGTCATCGGGGCTCTCTTGGGCCGTCTTCGGCGCCGCTTGAGCCGTCTCAGCGCCTTGTTGGGCTGTCTTGGGGCCCTCTTGGGGGCTTCTTGGGCCGTCTTGGGGCGGTCTTGGGGGCCTCTTGGGCCGTCTGGGAGCGTCGGAAAGCCCGAACGGCGAATTTGTGAAAAAAACGCACGCTTTACGAAGGGAGCGGGCTAATTTTTGCGTCTAGAGGCACTCTTGGGACGCATCTTGGATGCCTCTTGGGGCCTCTTGGGGGCATCTTGGGCCGTCAGGAGGCCATCTTCGGTGTCTTTGATCGCTCTTGGGCTGTCTGGGACCATATTGAGCTCTCTTGGAGGCCACTTGGGGCGCTCCTGGAGCGCTCTTGGGGCCCTTTTCGGGGCCCTGTTGGGCCGTCTTGGACGCTTGTTGGGCCGTCTTGGGGCCCTCTTGGGCTATCTTGGGACCCTCTTGGGGGTTTCTTGGGCCGTCTTGGGGCGGTCTTCGGGGCCTCTTGGGCCGTCTTGGAGCGTCGGAAAGCCCAGAAAGCGAATTTGTGAAAATTATACGTTTTACGAAGGGAATGGGCAAATTTTTGCGTCTAGGGACCCTCTTGGGGCGCATCTTGGAGGCCTCTTGGGGCCTCGTGGGGACCTTTTGGGCCGTCTTGGAGGCCTCTAGGCTCGTCTTGGGGCCATCTTGGGCGTGTGGGAGCGCTCGTTTGGCGTCTCGGGGCCCTCGTGGGCCGTCTTGGAGGCCTCTTGGAGCCTTCTGGGCCCGTCTTGATCCCCTTTTGGGCCCAAAAGAGCCCCGTGACGCGCTCGTGCTGGGCCCGGGGGGGGGGGTCAAATCTCCGGTTTGGGGTCCCTGGGGGGGGATTATGGGGGGGGAACTATCTCACACGCCTAGAGACCCACAAGGGGTCGGCGGATTTGTTCGTCGAATCTGCGAGAAGTGCGTAGGATGCTCCGAGATCTATGGAATAATTTACGCACTTCTCGTAGATCAGACCAGCAAAAATCCATTTCGGGGTAGATCAATTCTGTAGTCGATCCCCTGGTCGAAGCATTACCCAACCGTGATCACAGGGGAACGAAAATTGACATAAACATAAAGAATCGGAGGTCCGCGCGGATTTCTCGAATCGGCGCTGGGGCCCCGTGGCGGCGCCCCCGGCGCTGCCCCTGGCGCTCTCCGCGCGCCAGGGAGGGGGATCGAGTGGCTACCGTGGTCACCCAACCGTGGTCACCGATCTCCCCCCGCAGCTTCTTGTACTCCCGACGGCTGCCTCGACCTGCCCGACGGCTGCCTGCGCGCTCCGTCTCTTCCCTGGACTCTCTCGGCGGCCCGGGCCTCCTGCCTCCCTCTGCCTTCGCGGCTGCCCTTTGCTCCTCCTCCTCCTCCTCCTCCT